TCTCTGACGTGGAAATTCTTTTCCCTCTAGCCAGTTCTATCCTATCCATGACATCTCTTTACAGTTGCTCTGCTCACATGGCTGGGCACAATTAGTGTCTGCTTTATCTTATGGGGTTAGGAGAGGTTCAGTCTAAGTCACTGCTGTAGGCAAACTGAGCAGAGATGTTCACAGATAGACCCAGGAGCACAGGCTTAAGAGGTTGTTTGTACTGCTGGTAACCAGTGTATACAGTGGATTGAGGAGTGGGGACACTGAGTAGAGGCTCTAAGTATTTATATTCTTCATTATTATTTCATGGGCTTTTTTTACCTTGTGTGGTATTTCTGTCTTCTTATCTTGTGGGTTCAGTTTTTGTTACTGGGACATAATTTCTTTTTCTTGAGGTTTTTGGATGGTAGAGATTTGTAGAAAACAACTACGGGGTCATCTTGCTGATCAGGTGATCCTGTCCTATCCCTTTTTTGTTGTTGTTGTTGTTTTGTTGAAATTATTTGCTCCATTTTAAAAATTTCTGTCATTTTCCAATGTTGACCTCCAAAATAGCCACATCTTGTAAAGAAGAAGTACAGTTAAATAAAACAAAGCAATACATTTACTATCTGAAGACATTTTCCCCCTTTAGTCTATTTCTTCTCTACTGAGTAGAGGGAAAAAGATTTCTTCATTAACTATTTGGACTCAGAATTGGTCATTGCATTGATCTGAGCACTAACATTTTTAGATGCTGTTTTCCTTTAAATTATTGTGGTCATTATGTAAATTAGTTCTGCTTACTTTGTTCTTCCTCATTCCTTCCAGTATTCCCAAGTTTCCTTGAATTCTTCACATTTGTTATCTCTTAAGGTGCAATAATATTCCTGACCACTTGTACACTACAATTCATTTGGCCATTGCCCCAACAATAAGCACCTATTTTGTTTCCTGTTTGTTTTGGCATCTTCTGCTTTTCTTTATCAACACTTTTCCTTGGAGAACTTTTTCATTCTCGTGGCTTCAACCCTGAACTCTATGTTGATAACTTTCAAATCTTTATTTCTCCCCTGTTCCTCTCATTCACATTTCCACTTCTTAACTAGACTTTTCTCAATAGGATTTCAACCCCTTTCACCAAACTCATTATGTTTGATGATGATGATAATCATAATAATAACTAACATTAATATTGTGCACTGTGCTAAGCACTTTACAAATATTTTTGCATTTCATCTTCACAACAACCCTGCAAGGTAGGTACTCTTATTATCCACATTTTACAGATGGGGAAACTGAAGCAATTGAAGGTTAAGTGAGTTGCCCAGGATTAGTAAGCATCTGAGACCAGACTTGATGACAGCTCTTCCTGACTCTAGGCCCAGAGGTTTATCCACTGACCCACCTAGTGGAATGATGCAAATTCTTAATCTTTCCCTAAAGCCAGTTCCTCATTCCAACTTTTCTCTTTCTGTCAGTGGCAGCACCATTCTACCCATCACTCAGGCTCTACTTTTTGGAGATAACTTTGGCTCTTCTCATTTTCTTTATCTTATGTAGCAAACAAGTCCCTAGTTCTGTCATTTTTTTTCCCTTTGAAATAGTCCTCAAAATTATTCCTTCCTTTCCGTTCCCATTGTCTCTACTCTTATCCCAACCATCGCCATTTCATTTCTGGCTTATCGTGGTACTCTCTCAGTTGGCCCTCCAACTCCACTCTTCCCTCCATCTGTGCACCAGACACTGCCAATCTAATCTGCCCCAAGCTCCACTTTTATCCTGTCACTCCCATACTCGAGAATCTTCAGTGGTCATCATTGTATATTATATTACATCTCATCAAACCCTTTTTGCTTGGCTCTCAAGGCCTTCTGTAATCTATCCCTGTGCTACCTATCCAAACTTATTTTCTACTATTTCCCAACACAAACCTTGCTCCCCACTTTTTCTGCACATGCTATAGTCATTTTAGTCTTTATACTTTTGCTATACTTTACTTTTACTTTATACTTTATACTTTTCCTCATGTTCCTCTTCTTAGAATGATCTCTCCCTTCCCTTCAGTCCATCCAAATCCTAGCCATCTTCAAAGGCCAGTTCAAACCTTCCCTGACTAGAGTCACAGATATTTTGAGCTGGAAGGGGCCTTGGGCAAGTCACTTCTTTACTGGATTTCATTTTCCTTATCTCTAATGTGGGAATATTAGTATTTGCACAAGCTTACCTTAAAGTTTCCATATAAAGGTGAGCTATTATTGTTGGAGCAGGAACAGCAACCCAGGATGCTTTCTAGTGCACCATATTCTTTCAACAGACTTTTTCCTGGTAGAACAGGCGAATGAAAACAATTTGTTCCAACAGCTGATGAAGGCAGCTGAAGCTGGGGCTGTGGAGTACTTAGAACTTGGTCAGGCATCAAAGATATCAAGGCCATCCACTGCATCCTGGGCCATCCCCAGTCATCTTGACTTTTGTCTTGCTAGTGGACTTTGATGACTCAGGAAAAGAGTGAGGATGATGACTTTGTGCAACTTTGCCTCACTTAAATCCAATTCACACACAAGTCAAGATATCACCTTGTGATGTCATTGGTCCTCTTCAAGAATGAAGGACAAACAACATATTTCAACATATGAGGCCTGGAATGAGAATAACTTCCATCTAACTATGATTGAACTCAGGGAATGAAAAGGAAATCAAGGTTACTAAATGCCAGAAGACCAATGCCCTTTTATTGACTAGTGTGAAACAAGTTTGAATTGTTTTTAGTCCTCATTGATCTCTTCTCTGAACAGCTATAGTACTTAAAACCATTGCCACACAATGAAACCTTTAATGCCAGAGACTGTCTTGCATTGTTTGCTAGTTTTCTCATGGATTTTAGGCTTTTTCCATACTGGTTATATGGTCTGAGGTTAAAGACCACAAATTATACTTAACTTTGTATTTCTTTGCTTGCTTTTCATTTCCCTCACCCCTACCCCCACCTCCCAATGCCTAAAGAAGTGGGCACTTAACCAGTCCTACCTCATTAAGGTTTCAGGGAGTTGTAAATTTGTTAAGTCATTCAATGAGTCCCTCCACAGACCTTATCAGGATCCATCTTAATCTCTTCTTAGTCTTCCCTAGGGAAAAAATGCTTTCTTTTAGAGAAGTTACTGTATCTATATAGGGCAGCTAGGTGGCACAGTGGATAGAGTGCCCCAGGCCTAGGGTCAGGAAGACTCATCTTCCTGAGTTCAAATTTGGCTTCAACTACTTACTAGCTGTGTGACCCTGGGCCAGTCACTTAACCCTGTTTGCCTCAGTTCCTCAGTCTGTAAAATGAGCCAGAGAATGAACTGGCAAACCACTCCAGTATCTTTGCCAAGAAAACCCCCAAATGGGATCATTGAGTCCAACATGACTGAAAAAAACAACTGAACTGGACTGTATTTATAAAAAAGCCTCCTGTTTAATGAGTCAGAATCATAGAATGTTAGAGCAGAAAGGAACTTCCTATAGATGATGAGACTGAAGCCTAGAAAGCTTAAGCCTCATGGGCATTGATCTAGTTAGCATTGAATTAGTAGTCCTGTTTTATAGAGAAATGCCTTTTTGCACTTCTGTTTCAGGGTGTGCTTAAGAACTGGCAAGGGAAAGAGCACTCACTGGACTTGGAGCCAGGTTCAAATTCTCCCTCTGACACTCAGTAGCTGGGACAAGTCATTCAATCTCTGAACCTCAGTTTCCACATCTGTAGAATGGTTTTAACAGCACCACTTACCTCCCAGGGTTGTTGTAAGTATCAAATGAGTTAATGTATATAAAGTGCTTTGTAAACCTTAAAGCACCCTATAAATACCACTTACTCGTGCGGCGTCCACCTCAGTCCTTATTTTAAAGTATATAAATTTTGTTGTTATAGAGCAGTTTTACCCTCCTCCCCACCTCAGCTTTCCAGACCCTCAGGTCCTGCTAAGGAAGGCCCTTGTTCACAGGTGACTTTTCAGGAGGTCTGCTCTGTCTTCTTTCTGGTTTGGTTGCTGAAAGGGTGGCGCCAACCACCCGTAGGCTGTGTAAGTTTGTTCTGTGGCCCATAAGGTTTTTCCCTCCTCAGGACTTCCCTCTCTGGAGCAGTGTTCCCATTTCCCTGCTGGCTCCTCTGTTTTCTTGGGATAGCTGCCTGGTCTTGGCATTTCTGAGTAAGAACTCTGACAGATGCCCTAAGGTGAGGGGAAGGACTTTGAATCTGTTTTGTCACTGGACAAGCAGGCTTGGTGATGGATTAGTCTTCTCCCCAGGCAGTTCTGGGTCAGTGGAAGTCCAACTGATCAGTTTTTTCCAGAATCGAGTAACCTAGAAACAAAGCCAGCAGGGATTTTACTTCTTTTGTGACTTTTTTTGCATTGATTTTAAAGTTCAATCTTAGCTGCAAAGTAGAGCTACAGAAATAGGTAGACACATGCTAAATGAATTGCTTTGGAAATAAGTTGGGTTTTTTTGGGGGGGGGAACCCAGGGTGGGTAAAAACTAGAAAAAAAAATCCCTAACCAAATATTTCTTTTCCTCTGAGCATCGAAAAGGTACAATATAACCATTTCTTTTTCCAAGTGACCTTGTGGACGTTAAATGAGTTCACATCTGACTGTGAGCTGCTTGAGATCAAGGCATATCTTTGCCTTTCCATGTAACTCTAGCGTTTGGCTCGGATGCCTAGCACATAGAGGATGCTTAACAAATGCTTTACCGACTGAGGGCAAATACCAAAATGCTCAGTATCATTTTTTAAAGTGCAGCTTCTTCGGTTGCAGCGATTCACTCAGACATCATTTTCCTTCCGACTTCAGGGGCTCCTTCTGCAAGACAAAGCTTCGCTCTGTGAGGTGCCCTGTGTCAAAGCAGTTCCTGTCCTCAGTGATGGTATGCAATCTCCGTTCTTCCCCCCCCCCCCCCCCCCCCCCCTTTTGCAGACGTCCTTGAGCATTTGAGACGGATGTGAGAGGGTTTTTAGTCCTCATGCAAAACAACTAACTAAACATAACAGATGACATCAGCTCGGGCTTTTCAATTCCTGGATGGCAGCGGCGTGTTAATCCAACCTTCATCCTGGATTTCATAAACTAAAGCAAGAGAGGTTGGCAGGAGGACAACTCAGCCGGATTGAGGAAATTGATGACGGCGAAGCGTGCGGGCAACCCAGCGTATAAAACTCATCCACTTGTAGCCCGATGCTCAACTACTTCTTTGATTCTTGGCGTCTGCACCCCGCAGCCCCGACAGCGGTCCTTTAAGTTGAGAGTTCGGCTTGGAGTCAGCCTCCTTGTGCGCCCCCGGGGGAATCAGCCATGAAGGGCCTCTGGCTGCTGCTGACCACGCTGCTGATACCTGCGCACCTGGAGGCGGCCGGGGGCAGAAACAGGTACGCGGTGGATTGTCCGGCTCACTGCGATCCCAACCACTGCAAAAGCAGCCAGAACTGCAAGCAAACCGTGCTGGACGACTGCGGCTGCTGCCGCGTGTGCGCCGCGTACCTCGGCGGGAATTGCTACCGCACCGTCTCGGGCATGGACGGCGCCAAGTGCGGCCCGGGGCTGTACTGCCACTTTTCCAACCAGGAGGATGCTTTTGGTGAAGAGTTTGGTATCTGCAAAGGTAAACAAGGGGCTCGCTTTGCCTGGCTCACCAAGCAACAGGTGGAGGGCTCTGCTCACTTCTAACACGTAAGGAGGTCTTAAACTGGAAAGGGACCTCGGCCGCCAGCGGGTCCATTTTACAGATGGGAAAACTGAGCCCCAGGGGAAGCAGTTAGGTGGCATAGTGGTCAGAGCTCTGGACTTGGAGCCAGGAAGATCTGGATTCGAATTCTACCCCCAGAGAGACGTAGTAATTATGAGACCTGGGCAAATCAGCCTCAGTTCCTTCATCTGTAAAATGAGTTAACAATATTATAGATTTAGCTCATACCTGACTGGGTTATTGTGAGGATCAAATAAGACAATCTAGGTAAAGTACTTTACAAATGTTAGTTGTCGTTATTAAGTTAACGGCTGAAGGCCACACAGAGGGTAAATAGAGTTAGATGTATGAACCCAGATTCTGTGGCTCCAGTCTCTCCGCCCTTTCCACTCTACTTTTAATAAGGACTCTTACAGCAAAGAATCAGGTGGGAGGCTCACACACGTAAGGGAAGGAATCGTCTTAGGTAGAAAAGACACAAAAAGACACTACAATGGTCAAAGACAAAGCTGACCACGCACACACACACACACACACACACACACACAGAGTAATCGATCGCTTCAGTTTAGGAAGTACATCAGAGAAATATCATCAAAGGAAGGTTGTAACAACTTCCTAGGAGAGCTATTAAACACTAGCTCATCTTTTGTCTTGGATATTGTGTGCACCTGCCCTAGAGGCAGTGAGCTTTAGTGATTGTTGATTCTTTGAGCAGGAAAGGTTGGAGGGTGGAGACAACTCAAGGTAAAACATTCCTTGGGGAGCAACAGCGCTGATTTAGGAATAGGGTGGGGGGAAACCATCAGTATTCCAAACACTTGAAAAGGGATTCTCTGATAAACAAGACAAAGTCCTCTTTAGACCAGAGCTGACCATTCAGAACAATATATAGGTATTAAAGGATAAATGAAATCTGAAGGAAAGAAAGAGATGCAACCAGGAACAAGAGAGCAGCCCTAGAAGTTGGTAGGACAGACTCTGTTCCCTTGAATCTGCTTATTAAAAGAAAAGGGAAGTGTTAGTAGAATTTATTAAAGCTTGATTGCTTTTAATTTGAAATATTTTTGAATCAAGTTTTAATAAAAAAAAAGCAATGCTTATTTAAAAAGGTTTACAATATCAGGAAACTCCCTTCTCTTCTTTAGGAACTATGACAGCAGCAGAAAACACCTAGTAGGTGGAAAGAGCTAAAAAGTGATCAAGTTTACAAATTAAAGAAAGCTTTATTTTTAATGAAAACTCTAAAACATTTGGTATATTTCTTATCAATTCCCTCATTTAAATGCATTTGTAATGAAATTGTACCTTTTAAAAAAGAATGCTGCCATCTGGTATTGAGATGTTTAAGCTTATCTAATAATTCCCCAATATTTAAATATAATTTAGAAATGAACAACTTTCTCACTCACAGAAAATGCCAAGAACTAGGAAATGTATGTTTGAAATTCTAAGTGGCTGTTGTTATTATTATTGTTGTGGTTACCATTAATATATACCAGTGTAGCCAATCTGAAACAGTAGGAATGATGGAACTTAATGCAATATCTTACTTATTTGGCAAATTCTCTCTCTCTCTCTCTCTCTCTCTCTCTCTCTCTCTCTCTCTCTCTCTCTCTCTCTCACACACACACACACACACACACACACACACACACACAGAGAACTTTGGTTTGAATAGGATCAAGTTTTCTGTAAATAGTATGTCTTATCAGCCAAAAAGACCAAGACTTCTTGCAAGGAAATTACAGGGGAAGTGGTTAACACAATCATACTTACAATATAGTGAGCTATAGGCTATAGATTGCTTTTCTTCTGGCATGAAAAGGTCTTTTTAGCTGTATGCTCACATATGGGTAAAGAGGCAAGTTGCAGAGATTCCAAATTCTTGCAGCAAGCAGCTATTCCACTGGATTGATGTAATAGCTGTTGATCAATGCTGGTTATAAAGAGATTTTTAGGATTCCTCTTTCAGGCATCCTTCAGATTCTAGAGAAATTTTGCTTTGGATACTTTCTTCTCTCCTGGCAAGAAACATTGGTTGGGGGAAACTTTTGTGAGCATCCTAGAATGACATTTTTAAAGCTATTCCATTGCCTTCAGAACTAAGTCTTTCAGCTGTCCAAAGCAGCTCATGTTTGGTTATGTCTGAACAAACCCAAACATCCAGATAAAAACTGATAGCTGATCCAGATTTCTAGTTATCTAGGTGTTTGATGCTGTATGGCCAAAATTTCAATTGGCGAATGGGTAGTCATTGAATCTCTGTACTATGTGCCTAGCGCTGTACTTCATTTTCTGGAAGATTAAAAAAAAAGCTTATCTGGGAATTCAACCGAATTTTTAAGCTGCCACTGCTTGTGTGTATTAGATATAGCCTGACTCTTTTGAAGTTGTGTAGATGTCTTTCATACCTCTCCAAATCACCTTTCCCTATATATTTTGTTTGACTAATATTCAAGAGTAAATGAATCTTTTATAGAGTTCTGGTCACCCTTTGAAAAGGATGCACTTTGAAACACTTTGTTGATGATCATAGAATTTGGATCAGAAAATCAATTTTCATCACCTTCATCTTATGGATGGCCCAGACAGGTTGGACATGCTACTAAGTAATCTAGATGGGATTTGAAGACAGGTTATGTCACTCCCAATTCAGGACTGTTACATTTATTTATCAGTTAATGACCTTTTTTTTTTTTTGTTTCTTTTCACCTCAACAGGAGGGGTTTCCTTGTTTCAAGGTGAAGACCTTGAAGCAAGGTTAGACTTCCCTTAGGTAGGTGTGCATAGTAATTAGCAGGTAACTTTAAAGCTTATTTAGTATTTATATTGGGCTTTAGCTTTCCAGTGGGCTTTATCATCACTTTCCTGAAAGAATGAAAGTGTTCTTATTCAGTCAGGTCCTATTCTTCTTGACCTCTTTTGGGGTTTTCTTGGCTACTGAAATGATTTGCCATTTCCTTCTTTAGCTCATTTTATAGATGAGGAAACTGAGACAAACAGGATTTACTTGCCCAGGATCACATGGCTGGTATGTTCTGAGGTTGGATTTGAGCTCAGGTCTTTCTTACTCAAAGCCTGTGCTCTATCCACTGTGCCACCTAGATGCGTGTAAGTAAGGCAAGTAAAGTCAGTGTTGTTGTGCCCATTTCAGACTGAGAAAGCGAAGCAGTGAGTGGTTGGGGGAAGGGTCAGGGGAGCAATTTTTTTTTAAAAATCTGGCTCTTTGAGGGGCAGATCTGGGGTTGGAGCTCTTGCTTTCTTTCTCCCTTTTGGAGCTGAATCTCCTGATATCCATGCAGAAGTTCCCATGTCCTGCCAATTGACTAGCAAGTAGACTGTGATGTGGTGGAAAGAGGGTTGAACTTAGATTCATAGTCTCAAGTTCAAAACCCAGCTCTGCCCCTTATTACCTGTAAGACACCCTCATCTGTAAAAAGAAAGGTTCGGATTAGATGATGCCTAGAGACTATTCCAGTTTTAGATTTGTAAACCAACCCTATACTCAAAAGCTAAGTACAAATCCATATTCTAATAACGCCTGAGGGCTGGAGGGGGTGATTCTGTGCCCTCTGTTATTTGTCTCCCACCTCCACCTCTCTTGGTTTTCCATATAGCTAACCTATTAAAAAGGTGGTGTGTGTGTGTGTGTGTGTGTGTGTGAGAGAGAGAGAGACAGAGACAGAGACAGAGAGACAGAGAAAACAAAGAGAGATAGAGAGGCACACAGAGGGAAAGCCTGACTCCTCTTCAGAAGAAGAAAGAAAACAGCAGGTATAACATGGGGTAGTGAAAATCCCATTAGACTGGAACTGAAGAGACATAGGTTCTAGCTCCATCTCTGTCACCAGCCAACATTGGGGCCTCAGTTTGCTTTACTGTAAAATGAGATCTTTTTCTCTGAAGTTCCTCTCACCTCTGAAATGCATTTTTCTTTTCTGGAGAAAATGGCTATATATTGACAATTTTTCTTCTGTGAAATTTTACAACAGGAGTAATTAAGGGAAACAGCCTAACATAATTGATAGAGTACTGGCCTTAGAGTTTGAGAGATCTAGGTCTGAATCCTGCCTTGGACATTTACTAGTTATGTGAACATAGGCAAGTCATATCTCTTATCCTCAGTTTCCTCATCTGTAAAATGGGGCTAAATCATACTTGTAACACTTACCTCACTAGGGTTACTTCGAAAATCAAATGAGGTAATGTAGGTCACATGTTGGCTGTTAGGATCACAGATCCAGAGTTGGAAGGAACCATAGAGGTTATTGGGCCCAAGTACATAATTTTTAAAGAGAGGGAGCCAAGGCCTAGAAAGACAGTACAGAATCCAGATTCTAATTCAGTTCCTGTGACTCCAAGCTCTCCATTACCCCATTAGTATTAATACCTGAATTACCTAAGCTTGGTATTTCTGATCCGTTAGGGAAATATTTAAGTTTGAATTTTACTTTTTGTTTTTTAGGAAATCAGCTCTTATAAACTAGATAGGTTTAAGCCAAATTCAGGTTCATATTCAAATCAGAACTACTGAGAGTTTGGGTATACAGCAGCTAAAGAGTAGAGAAAATCAGTCCCTCCACTGAACTTTTTTTTTTTTTTTAATCCTGAAGAATGTCCTTATGGTACCTATGGAATGGGATGCAAACAGACCTGCAGATGTTCATCTGGCGTATGTGACAAAGTTACCGGAAAATGTTTGAAATTTCAATTTTTCCAAGCTTCAAGGCCTTCCAAAAGGAGATTGGTGCCTTCTTCTGGTAAGAACTGACCCTGCATTTCACAGAGTCAGAATAACCATGTCCTTGATCTAGCAGTCACTCTTTTACTAATTCATAATTTTCTATTTATTTTAAGAGGATGAGTAGAAAAAAGAAGTGGTTGCTATGTATTCCCCTCCACATATGTAACCCAATGGGAAGGCAGGCTAGTTTTTGTTGTTTGTTTTTAAAAAGGGGAACTTTGGTTTTTGTTCTTTTTTTTTGCAAGGCTAAAAGCACATTGTTTAAACATTAAGAGATTTCTCAGAAAACTTCTTCCTTTTCATGTGGAGAATGAAACTAATCCTCAGCTGATTATTATGTTTCTCCTGTTTGAGGGGTCACTAATTAGGATATGGAAGCTCTGTAAATCCCTCAGTGAACTGCTTTAGATATTCACTAGCCAAAGTCACTCCCTACCTGATCTCTTACTTAGAATTATTTCAACGATGAAATATTCAAGCCAGTATAGTAGAAGCTAACTTTTTAAAAAAAATTTTTAAATTTTTTTTATTTTTAGGCAATTGGGGTAAAGTGACTTGCCCAGGGTCACACAGCTAGTAAGCATCAAGTGTTTGGTCTAAGGCTGGATTTGAACGCAGGTCCTCCTGACTTCAGGGCCAGCTCTCTATCCACTGTGCCACCTAGCTGCCCCGAAGCTAACTTTTTAAAAAAGCACCTTGTTGCTCAATTACGGTCTTGAAATGACCAGTCTTAGTCCATATTCCTGAGAATCTATAGGTGGGGGAGCAAGAAGTGTTTGACTAGTGAGTGAGATTATTGAAAGAAGCACTTCGTATATATTGGGCACGTCTGGGCACTGGCCCAATCTCCCAGTTTCCAGCAGAGTCCTGCCCGTAGGCTTATTTTTTATTGTAGGACTTTTAAAAATCTGTGATTACTTCTGCAGAGGCACTCCCTCTACTAGTACTGATCCCCACATGTTGAGGAGCCATGTTGCTGTGGCCTGGCATCCAGCCTTTCTGAAGAATGCCCGGTCTGTTGTCTTGGCAATGAGTTTTGGCCAGCCTGGTCCTCAGAGGGTGGTCAGCTCATCCAAATCCTTTCTAGGACGATTGGGGGACCAGCTAGAACTCACAACCCATTAGCATAGCCAGGGTCACGTTCATCTTAGAGTACTATGTTAGTGGAAACTGAGCACGTATTAAATGTTTGATAATTGTTGAGTTGATTAATGAATTTCATCTACATAGGACCTCTCAGTGAGGAAACTGATTGCTAATGCAGATCAGCAATTCATTGGTGGCTTGGAGCAGGGGTTCTTAACCTGGGATCTGTAGGCACCCCAGGGTCCATGGACTTGAGAACTTGGATTGAAGAAAAAAAAATACATCTTTATTTTTACTGACTTCTAACTTAAATCTAGCATTTCCTTTAAGTATGATTTTTTTTAATGAAACATTATTCTGAGAGGGGCTTCACCAGATTTCCAAGGGGCTGGAGCTGCCTGGTTCACTAAGACCTTAAAAACAAGGCCACAGAGCCAATATCAGAGGGAGTCTTCAACCAGGCAGGTCCTCCTGGCTCCCAAGCAGAATCTATCCATTATGTCATGTTGCCTCTCTTAAAAAGTAGCAGCTCATTTTATATAATTTGTCTATTCACTAACAAGCCACCTGTCCTGTCCTTAAATGAAAGTATTAGATAATCTCAAGTCAGTCTAGATTTTCTGATCACTTCCATTTCATACTAATTACAACTGAGTTATGTAAATATATGCATATATAGTGTGCTTTGTAAACTTAAAGTGCTATACAAATGCTAGCTATTATTATTATCTTACTGTGTTTGGTAAATGTGCCTATTTCCCCAACCATAGGTGCTTTCTGTTCCAGTGCACAATGATGCAAAATTATATGCACTGCAAATTGTGTCCTCTGACTTATTCACATCATTCTCCTATAATATCACTAGGCTCACTGGAAAGGAGGCACAATATTGACTCTTGAAATGAACTGTCAATCACAAAGCTCTTAACCATTGGATTTTTTTTTTTCAAATTAATGGGTGTGGGAAAGAGTCAGTAACTAAGGTAAATTTAAATAGATTCTTGAAATATTTTCTTGAAGAAATAAATATTTTGGCCAACTTAATAGAGCATGAACTGTGAGGGCCATATTTTAGACATAGAAATGAAGTTATGTTCTTCAGTCAGGTTCTCCTTTAGCCCCTCACTACAGGGTTGGGGTGTCAATGCTACACAAACTCTGGTATATCCTACGAATCTGGGAAGATTTGAGTATTGGCCTGATGATCAACAGTACTATCTCTTTCTTAAGGATTGGCCTAGCCAAGAGCAAAAGGAATTTGTTTGACCACAGGGTGTTCAAATGTTTTGGTGACAGCAGATCCTGAAGATGATTTTCAAAATATTAGAGGGATTGCAATGTGCTTTGGTGGAGGGAACTCAAACTGAGGACATCACATGTCCTTGAAGTATTGGATTGGAATAGTGTTTGTAGAAAGCAGCTGATAAAGAAGGAGAATTCACTCACTTGTTTTTTTCTTTCTTTCATATTTATATTTCACTTAGAGGATTTTTTTTCTTGTTTACACCTTGGCTCTAGAAACGGAGTAAGTATTTGCTGAAATTATGAGATGTTATTCAATCTTTTAAAATGTTTATGGCTTATCTATAGAGCCCTCAAAACCTGCACGGTCAATGTTTCATGTGATTTAAAAATATTTTGGTCAGTCAGATTGCTTCCAATATAGATTCAAAAATTGGGCACATAATATGAGCTCTCTTCAGGGAGAAAGTACGTATCTTCTTTCATTTTAGAAGTAGGATAGCTATGGATGCATACACTATTAGACATAGTCACTATGTGGATCGGTTTTACAAGGAGGGGTTCATTTGGTGGTGGCTGGAAATGAAGGAAAATCACAAATAAAATCTATTTTATGAGATTTTTTTTCCCCCTTAACTATTTGGAGATTTCTCTTCCATTTTGCTTTTATAAAATTCCAGGGTCAGAAAGGACCATGAGAGATCCTCTTGCTCATTCTCCTCTACTCAGCTATACCAAGATGAAAATCTAATCCTATCCCCTGTTCTTTTTGTCATTTTATAAAGAAGGAGATTCCATGGCCTCCCAATATAGTCTAGTCCAGGGTTTAACAATCCTCAATGACAGGAAATTCTTCTGTATGTCTAACCTACATCCTTCATGCTGCAAGATAGACACCATTTCCTCTTGTTCAATTCTCTATAGGAAATGAAGAGCAGCTGTTTTCCTTGGGTTTTGTCTCACTCTCCTCTTTCCTTGCCAGGTTACACAAAGACCTTTAGTTCTACCTTGATCCCTTGTATGCAAACTGATTTTGGGGTTGGAGACCAAGAATGAATGAAATGAAAAACATCTGAACCCTTTGCCACAACTCTTTTTGGAGATTTACAAATCTTAAGTAGCCTTTCCCTCTTCTTTTCCCATGGAGCATTTCCCTAGCTTGGCCAAAGGGGCAAGAAAGCTCATTGTTCATATGCGACTGGAAAACCTCACATATGGCATTATATATTTCTGACTGAGAGCAGGAATTCCTGGAACTCTCATGTGAGCTAATTCTCAGGAATCATACCACTGAGTGGTACTGATTTCTCCATAGTAACCAAGCCTTTATAGCCAGAACTAAGTCCTTAGGGGGGCTACATATTCCTGGTTTTCCTTCTTTTTACAGATGAAGAAACTGAGGGCCTATGAGTTTAGGTGACTTGTCCAGTGTGACACAGCTAGTGGATACATGAGGCAGGATTTGATTCCAGATCTTTCCGACTTTCAAGTCCAATGCCAGATACCATGCATAATGTCTCTATGCACCTAAACAGCTGCCTGAGTGGTCTAAGAATTGTAGATAGGCTTAAGGTGTATGAGCTTAAGAACATGGAAAAATGACACTCTTCAGTTCAGAGCCTTAGAGTACATAAGCTACTATCATAACTTCATAGATTCTTAGGGCTGGATGGGATTTTGGAAGTCATCTAGTCTGGCCCCTACTTGAAACCAAGGTGAAAAATTCAGACTACTTCTGAATTCTCTAAGGCTGATTTAGCCTAAAAAACTAGCATCCATAGAAAACTCTAGCTTGCGGTGGGCCCCTTAGGAAGATTTGTTTGTCTTCTGCTCTTGAAGAGGATGGTGCCATCAGGAAGGAGATGCCATGACTTGCAAATGAATTGGATTTAAGTGAGGGAGGGCTGTGCAAAGTCACCAGCCTCATTCTCTCCTTCAGAGCCATCTGGGCAAGATATAGATCAGGACAACTGGAGATGACCCTGCCTTAGGAAGATACCATGAAAGTTATGTGTCTAGATGTACAGAGAGATACCTAGGAAGCCTGAGCAGCAAGAGGATGCTAAACTTAATGACAGAAAGATCTGAGTTCAAATCTCACCTCAGATACTAGCCGAGTATAATCCTGGGCAAATCATTCAGTCTCTCACAGCGTTTCTTTCCTCATCTGTTTTTTTTTTTTTAAAAGCATCTCCCTCCAAGGGTTGTTGTGAGAACCAAGTGAGATCATCAATTATTGAGCATTTATGAAGCACTTATTATGAGCCTGGCACTGTGCTAGTTTCTAGTGATATGAATATAAATAACAAAATAGTTGCTACTTTCATGGAGTTGTAAAGCACTTTGCAAACCATAGGTGCTATATGAATGCCAGCAACTGTTATAACATGGCTGAATAAGCAAATGCTTTCCCACAAATTGAGAATTTCAAGCACAAAGTGATAACTTTCTCAAAAAACCTCTGTGACTTATAAATGTACCACAGACAGTTGGGTCTGATTTTTGTTCTCGACCTTACAGATCATGACATGGCTTCTGGAGATGGTAATGCCGTCGGAGAACAATTTGCGAAAAACAATGCAGCTCACCCTCCGGTAACGAAATGGCTAAAGCCTCGCTGATATTGGGTGTGATTTGATGGGACAGCCAAATGAGTACTCCCCTTGAAGATTGTTCAATGCACAGTCACACATTTCAAGAGCTATCTGGCTTATCCAATAGGAAAACCTAACTCCTGAAGACCTATTGTGATCCAGTGTGCCTCCAGTGGGGGTGGGGGTGGGTGGGGGTGGAGAAAGATTACTTACATTCTGTAAAATGCATATGGCTGGACACTTTTAGATATTTGTCTTGCTAAGTATTTGGACACTAGACATATTCTAGATCTGATAGATATATAGCAATAATGAAGAACTAAAAGGAAAGATATCAATGCCAGTGTTCAGGTGTGGCAGCCAAAGAAAAGATGTGGAGAGCTAAAACTCCCAGCCTGTCCTTTGATTGGGATGGATACTGATACCAAAAGCCTAATAGTGAGGGATGGGGAGACTGGGAAGGGGTGGGATCAGACAGCAAATATCATATGCCAATGTGTGTTCTTGTGATGCCTTTTAATTCAATGTAGTGATTGTAATTGGATTGAGTGCTTTCTTTCACACTGAGAGAAACAAAAGGAAATCTAAATGAGAAAACTCAATGAAAATAAGTGAGATGGATGTCTGCTGCCCATATGAAATTGTGTAGATGTGGGTAACATTGGAGCACATTTTAAAGGACTGTTTATGTTATCTACAGACTCAGATGGCTTATGGAAGGATTCTAGGACAGAGGGGAGAAACAGCTTTAGAAATGATTTTAAAGAACTAGTTTCCACCTCAGAGGCAGGAAATGGAGACATTTTTGTTAGTTTAGGGGGAAAGGGTAAATATTTATATATTTTTTTATAAAGATACATGTTACTATGATTCACCTTGTATGCCCATATTTATCCCTCTCTTGAGGAGGTGATCATGGCATGGATTATGTGCAGAGGATGGTAGTGGGAGACTTGAGAGAGCTGCCTAAAGGCGGCTTTAACTTTCCAAATATGAGTAGCCTGCTGGCTAGATGGCAGTTATAATAATAGAAGTCATAAGCATAAGTGGAACCTCGAATACTTCAGCCACATGGCAATTAATTTTTGTTAGATTTCCCCAGAAAATGTACTGTTACTGAAATGTCATTCAAATTCAAAACTGCAAATGACTCCTTGAGCAAGGCTGCAAAAGGAAGGCTGATTTTAAGCTGGTAACTAGCTAATGTGCTGACTTTTTGATTTTGAGGGATTTGATGCCTGTTTTTTAAACCTGGAAAATTGGGATGTATGGTGGAAATTGGGGTACAATTATAATGATCCTAGCATAAGCAGCACCGCTATATGAGATGCTGGCCAGGAATATTTGCAAGGTATTTTATTTGAAGTTAAGAATTGAGCTATTATTGTTGTTGTTGTTGTTGTTATTATTATTATTTAAAAATGATTTTACTATTTACATAGATCTTAGGCTCTAAATTTATGCCAGAGTTGTGAATGAGAGATGGGGTCTTTGAATGTAAACCTAATAAGCTGTTTGATTTTTGTTTTTAAAAGGACATGTTTATTATTGTTCAATAAAAAAAAACTGCTATTATTGTGGGTCTGCTATTGATTTAGTATTGTTCTACTCAACCCAGCCCTCTCACATCTCATCAGGACTATTACAATATTAAAATGACCCGATAGGTCTCTTATCCAGCCACCACAAAGCTCCTAAATTAATGTTCCTGAAATATAGGTCACACTATATCACTCTCCTATTTAATAATTTTCATTGACTCTTTCCCAGCAGGCTAAAATAGAAATGTCTCTGTTTGGCATTTATAAAGACTTTGACAATCTATCTTTAGCCAAGCCTTCCTTGTCTTGTCTACATCCCAGCCAAGCCAATGAGTCCGGTATCTCTTGTCCCCTCTGCCCTGAAGGCTCAGTGTAGCTACCACCTCCTAAAAGCTTTCCTGAGCCTCCTAATTGTTAATGTTCTCCCTCTCATGGAATCACTTGCTGTATATATTCACTCCCCTCATTCCAATAATTTGTTCCAATCACCATGAAGGCACAATGAAGCAGGCACTGGTGGATCACTTAGAGCTTGGTCAGACATTGAAGACGCCAAGGTCATCCACCGCATCCTGGGCCATTGTCAGTTGTCCTGACTTTTGTCTTGCCACTGGACTTTGATGCCTCTGGAAGAGAGAGGAGGCTGCCGCCTTTGTGCGGCTCTGCCCTACTTAAATCCAATTCACACACAAGTCAAGACATCACCTTATGATGTCATTGGTTCTCTTAGAAAACAAAGGACCAACTACAACAGCAACAACAACGTTGTTCCTATTTGGACAGTCTTAGTTTCCCTCTAGCTTCATCAGATGACCTGATAATTAGAAAGTAGATTCCTCATCGACTTGCCTGCTTAAGAAGAATCTCTTTCTCCTTAATAAGTCAGCTCAGGACTTGAGCAGCATCTCTAGTTCCTTCTCACAGCCACTCCCTGGGATGTAAATAGGTCCTGTTAGCCCCAGGGAAGGGATAGGGAAGGAGACAACACTCAGAGATGAATCCCACTTACCTCCATATAGGTTTTCCTTTCTCTACCATAGATCAGCAGCTAGGCATGTTTGGGATGGCTACAGCTCCCTTCAATACTGCCAATACTGCTCCTCAATTTTTAGTGGGTATTTGTTTTCCCTAGTCCTGAAGGGTTAGATGGGATCCCTTCTCTTTCGATCACGTGAAACAATCAATCAGTCAATAATCATTTAAGTGGTTACTAAATGCCAGGCACTATACTAAGTGCTGGGGATATAAGCACAAAAACATTGTCCCTACCTACATATAGACAAGATACATACCTTTATAAATGGGAGGTGATGTCAGAGAGAAGGCAGTAGTGGTGGGAGGGACCAGGAAAAGCCTTTTGAAGATGCTAGTATTTGAGTTGAGTCTTGAAGGGGGCCTGGGAGTCCAGGAGGCAAAGGAGAGAAGGGAGAACAATCTAGACATGGTGGGGGAGGGGCAGAGGGAGGGCATGTTTGGTTTATTTTTCAGCATTTAAAAAAATAACTGAGGGAAATGGTAAAAAATAAACCAATATTCAAAGACATAGCACAGAGGCAGCGTGGACTCATGGTAGGATGTTGGTCCTGGAGTCAGGAAGACTGATTCAAATCTCACTGAGCCAAGTTACTTCATCTCTATGTTTCCTTACCGATAGAATAAGGGAATTGGATTTGATGACATCTAAGGTCTCTTCCAGCTCTGTCTCTGATTACGGATCTGGAAGGATCTTTAAAGGTCACTGAGGGAGGCCATATAGGTGGTGAGAGGCAGAATCGGTATTTGGACCCATTTCCTCTGACCTGTTATAAAAAAAATCTAGCACCCTTTTCGGCTGTGCTGCACTGAACTGATAAGCTTACTAAGTGCCACCATCTTATAGGAATGAATGTGTGTGTGTGTGTGTGTGTGTGTGTGTGTGTGTGTGCAATGCAATGAGACATTGATGCAATTTAGACCCTCGTTAGCATTCTTGACCCCTTTGTGTATTCAGATCAGCAGCCTAAACATAGTTGGAATATAAAGGGCATTGGGTGCAGGTAGGTGGCACAGTAGATGGAGCACTGGCCCTGGAGTCAGGACTATGGGACCCTGGGCAAGTCACTTAAACCTGATTGCCTCCAAAAAACAAAGACAAAAGAAAAAGCATTGGATTTGGAGTGCAAAAGACCTGATCCTGCTGCTTATTATCTGTGACCTTGGGCAAGTCCCTTCACCTCTCTTTCTTAGCCTTAATTTGCTCATTAGTAAAATGGAGATATACCTGTCTTTAGTTATATAACAGGTTTGTGTTGTTGTGAGAATAAAATAAATATATATATATAAATAAATATATATATATAAAATAAAATAAAATATGCAAAATGTTTTGTAATAAATACTTTTTGTTACATAACAAATACTTTAACATGTAGGTAATAAATATTTTAACAAGTTTTTTTCCCACATTGACATTTCTATTAACACCCATAGTTTTAAGAAATTATTTTTTTATGTTTTACATGATTGCACATGTATAACCTGTAACAGATTGCTTCCCATCTCAGGGAGGAGGCAGGAGAGGGAGGGATAGAATTTGGAACTCAAAACTTAAAAAAACAACAAATGCTAAAAATTGTTTTAATGTGAAATTGGGGAGAATAAAATATTAAACATAAATGGATGTTCACTTGACTTGAAAAAAATTATTATTAAAAAAATAGACAAAAATGTTTTGTGGAAGCAGTGTAATAGTTAATCAGATGATCTTTCGAAATAGTTAAACCACACCAAATATGAATTCCTGTTATGTAAAAAAAAAAAAAGGTGGGTGGGAGCAGGGAAGAGAGGGCCTTAAAAAAAAAACCTATGGATTAGATGGGTGAGGCTTTGTTAGTAGGATACATTGTCAATGGAATAGAGTGTCAAGAGGTTTACACTCTTACTTTTACCAGTTATCACTAATGTACATTTCAGCTCTTGCATCACCTACCATCCACTTCACACATGCCCAACAATAAACCAGGACAAGCTCGTGCCACTTTGTCCATGAGGAGGTTGAGCCTGTTGAATCCGAACGGTTGGATCTGTTTATTAACCAGCTACCACTTGCAAGGCACTGTCCTAGGTGCTGGGATACAAATACAATGATAGGAATGTTACAGGGATACAAATCCCTACTCACAAAGAGCTTACATTTGAATGGGGAAGAAAACAAGGACACATTATAGTATAAGTATATACAGAATAAACCTAAGAAGAAAAGATACATAGTAGTTAATATAGTTTATTATATACTAATGCATATATAGTGGTATAACATATACCATATACACATAGAACATACTGTAATATAGTAGCATAAACACAGTAGTTAATCTAGTAGAATATATAGTAACACATATATAGTAACATAACGCATTTGGTATATTATTAGAATGTACACCATAGTAGTTAGAGAGAGAGAACACTAGGAGATGGGCAGTTCTGGAAAGGTTTCAGTCAGAAAGTAGAGCTTGAATGGCACTTTGGAGGAAGAGAGATTCTTTGAAGTGGAAGAGGAAGAAGGGCATTGTGAACATAGAGGACAGCCTGTACAAAGGCACGGATGAAGGAGAAGGGGTGTTCTGTGTGAGGATCAGAGAGAATGCCAGTTTGGCTGAATTACAGAAGGAGTAAAGTCTAGAGAGGCTAGAAAGAGAAAAGGCTTTAAAAGCTAAACAGATGAGTTTATATTTTATTCTAGAGGCAATTAGAAGTCAATAGGACTTATTCAATAGGGGAATGACATGGTCAGATCTTTGGATCTTAAGGAAAGTATAAATGGTAGCTATTTTATTATTAGCTATCTAATGGTCAAGGTTAGGTGTCTTTTGACATGAACCTCTACTTCATTTTTTGGGTCTAACTGACATCTAAGCCTAAGGTCCTCTCTGCCATGGCCTTGGATAATTCTACCTTGAAAGCTGGGACTGAAGATTTTCAGCACTGAGATGACCAGGTCTGTGGGTCAGGAAGATTATTCTGGCTGTGATGTGATATGATGGATGAATGAGGGTGGGGGTAGGGCAGGGCAGAGAGGAGAGGTTCTTTTCACCTCATTGTTACAAATACTTTTTACATATGTATATCTATTATAATATATATAAATATATATTAATCTGGTATAACACATGACCTTTTTACAGATTTGCATTCATATGCTACATATATGTATTTATTACTTATTATCCATGTATGTATATATCTATATACACATATACATATTGTGTGTGTGTATACATATATATGTATACTGATGCATGAATTCTATAGATTGTGTACCAAACTATATATCATGGTCTAATAAATGCCCATTCTTTATCTGCTTTTTTTTCCCATTCAAATAGTTAAACTAAAGTCTTTTGAGTGATTATGGACCTCATCCGGGAGATGCTGCAATGTTCCTAGGCTTGATGCAATGAGCACAATGTCATTTGCTAACAAAGTTACTGTCAAGTATGTAAGGATTGCAGGTGATTTCATTGACACAGTAAGAAACAAATAATCTCAATCAGGGCTAAAAAAAGATTGGTCATCAAGGTTGTGGGTATGAATGCAAGTCTGAGAACAGGTCACTTGTCATACCAGATGAATACCATTTCCTTTTTGAATGGGTAACTCTACAGGGGTAGATAAGGGGAATGCTATCAACACACTAGAGCTGGATTTTCACAAAGTATTGGAAAATTTTTTCCATCCTTATGGACAACATAGAGAGATGTAGGCTAGAAGATAGTACATTTAGGAACTTTCATGGCTTCTTTGAATAACTATGAATGGGACTCACTTGACTAATTTTAAACAGTATAAATAAAAGTCCTATGAATTACTTAGATTTTTAAGTGTTGAGGGAGCCACATTCTATCATTTTTTAAAAAAGAACGTTGACATCTGGACCAAGGCTATTTTGCTTGCTTTTGTACATTGTCCAACAGAAAACTGTATGCTTGAGGGCATGAGGTTAATCAGACTCCTTTGCACTTGAAGTCAAATACTGAGGATTTTCCATTGCTTCTTTCTCAAGATTCCATAGGGGTACCTGGAAGACGCCAGCCAGAGCTGACATTGCATGGGACCACCTTCCCCTTTCCCGGTTGCAGGCTATCGCAGGGCCTACCTCAATGTTTTTTTTTTTCTAATACTCCCTTCCCCCATTCCCTTCCTTGCCACTTACTGCCCAAACACAACCCCATCTCCACCTAGAACCTCCAGTCCACTTTAACCCTTGGGTCTATTCCTCCTTCAAAATTGTGGTGGGCTGTTCCCCTCCAGGATTCTGGCCCTGTGTAGCAAACACCCTGCTTTGCCATCCACTCTATTGATACACCTTAATTACATCTGGGCTTTGTCGTTTACCCTGCAACTGAACTTTCCTCTTCATATTGTCTAACTCAAATAAAGTGTGAGCTCTTTGAGAGTAGGGGCTGTCTTCTTTTTCTATTTTTATCCCCAGTGATCAACACAGCGCTTGGCATAGAGTAAGTGCTTAATCAATTCATTTTTATTTATTCATTCATTCATCCCATTAAATATAGGTGATAGAACTATCAAAACCAAGGTTTCTTTATTTAGGCAATGTCTTAAGAGCATAGACTTTTATGTTCATAGTGTAACCCAAGTCCCGAAACCTATAGGGGTTCTCTCCTCATTAGTGGAAATCAATGCCCTGCACCTGCATAAAGGTTGGGACAGAGCTGGCAAGAGTGAGAGTCTCTAATTGTCTTTAATCTCTGACTTCCAATAAAATATTATTTTTAAAACTATGTCTTACACGATTGAACATATGTAACCCATATCAAATTGCTTACCACCTTAGGGAGGGAGAAAATCTGGAACTCAAAATAAAAAAATGAATTTTAAAAATTGTCTTTACATGTAATTGGGAAAAAAAATAAATTATTCAATCTCTGGTTTCCAGCTTCAAGAAACAAAGTAGATGATACCAAAGCCCTCTTGAGATTGCTGAAGGGAGCACGAGCTTCTAGAAAGAAGCCAACTTGAGAGGAGCTGGCAATCTCCATAATGTCCCTATCTTTAGCTACACAAGGGACTTCAGGAAATTTTTCCTTGCATGAGATCTAAGACTCTGTTTCATGGTTGAGCTGAATTTATCTTTCTCCTAATGGGAGAGCTCCCTCACTCTGTATTGTCTGGTATATATTCTCCTATGTATACTTCCTCTGATTTCTGCTTTGCTGTCAACTTGGATAAGTGGGCATCTTTTCTACTTATTTTTTGTGTTCATTGTGGAACTGATATTTAGTGGGAAAGAAGTCAAGACTTGGATATAAAGCTTATGGTCCTTCTTCCCTCCAATTAATGAACAGTGATCAGTTTGAAATTGAAATTGAAATAGAAAACCATACCCCCTAGACTACTATTTAAGAGAGCAGGTAGATATAACTCTAGCCCAATTCCCATTCTCTCCAAGGAGAGCAGAGTGGTCAGGCTTTTGGACTCTCATGCTTCCCCTCCTGGCAGGAATTCAAGTCTTCCTTGGAGAAGGGTGGGAGGAGAAGAGGTTAGAGCTGTCTATCCTTCCTCCCTTTGAGTCACATAGTGATAATCTTGTGATGCAGATGGGAGGGATTCCCTCACTACAGTAGTTTCAAGATCCTTTCTCTGTACAAATAATATACTACATGCCTGTGTATCTAGTTCAAAATGGCATAAGGAACTAGCTTGCATCTAAGTCCCTTCTAATTCTAAGTTTTTTCTAAATCTGTATAAATGCAAATTATATTTCTAAAAATAAATGAAGACATTTAACTTCATAGCAAATGTCAGGAGGGCTGTTAAGGTATTAAAACAAACCACACCATGTTTTCCGAACGAATCTCTGGCTTATCTTACTGTGTAAATACAAATTATTTGAGGCCTTTTAAAGTCTCCATAAAGGTTTATGTGCTTAAGTACACATCTTACATCAAAATATACTTTGAATATCCATTTTCAGACTCACTATCTGTTTCAATGGATGGTTTAGATCTCTAGTGTTATGAAAGCATTTCCTGACACCTGTGAAGTTGGTAAATATTTCCTGTTTTTGTTGTGTCTGCAGAAAACAGGAATTAACCAGTTGGAAGTGATTATCTAGCCAACTGCAGGACTGATAGACATCTCCTTAGTTCCTGGCATAAGATTTCTAGTTTCCTAATATCTGTCAAACTTTCTTTTACATTTTAAGGTCAAAGAATTCTGCTTTCTTAAGCTGACAGATAATTAAGATGCAAAAAAAGGAAACTGGATTTTCAATCAAAACATAGTTAGGACACAAGGCACCAAATAAATCATACATATCTTCAAAATCTCCGCTCATATCCAACTTTAAATCTTCAGTGGCAAAACAAAACCATTCAGAAGGACAAAATAAAGCACATCATATTACAGAAACCACTATATATACACAGGTGTCAGTCTTCACGTTTCTATTGCCATGTTTCTGATGATCTTCCAAGGAAATAAAAGGCAATACTATTTATTATATTTCAGAAGAATTGTTCACATCAGTCCATGACTTGAAAAAGTGATGATTTATCTTTTCTTTCTTTTTTCTTTTTCTTTCTACATCCCTTCCCTCCCCTTCCTTCCTCCTTCCCCCCTCTCCCTCTCTTTCTTTCCCTCCTTCCCTCCCTCTCTCCTCTTTCTTTCTTTTGACTGAATCTTACAATCTCACTCAGATTGAAAAGGCAATGGTTGTTCATGGGTCCCCACTTCACCACCTATCAGTGCAGATGCTCTGTTATGACCTGGGCCATCCTGCTCCTCCTTAGGCTGTCTGGTGCACCCTGCCATCCCAAGTGCTTACTATAATGGTGCTGAACTTAGTGCAGGCACCCAACTGACTTTAGCCGTACTGCAGCTAAGAATTTCTGAGCCCAAGTAATCCATCAGCCTCAGCCTCCCCAGCAGCAGAGATTTCAGTTATTCATCACATGCCTGGCAGGTTCTGATATATTTTAAATATTTTACTTATTGTTTTAAAAATGAATGGGTAATTAGACAAATGAAAACGGGTTCACTTATTTTCCCCTGCAAAACCAAAGATGTCTATAAAACACAGACTGAATGCTTTAACTCAATCCAATGAATATCACTTGAAAACCCCATAATTCTGCAGGAGTACCACCTATTTTTAAAGAAGAAATAATAGAATTCTATTTAAATCCCCAAACAATATTTGTGTGCTCCTGGAAAAAAAAGGATACAATGCTAGAAGGGAATGCAAGTGAGCCCTCCAGATGTGTCAGTCACACTTCCCTGCCTGCTATTTTTAGTTTTCTATTCCTGCTTTTTATTTTGGGCTTTGGCTGGCTTCCTTGGGAGCTTCCCCTCATACCTTTCTTATATAATGTGTTAAAGGCTTTTCCCTCCTCAAAGGAAATTCAAGGAATGTCGGCAAGTTTCAGGAACTCAGGCTTGCCTTGGCATCAGTGGAGTTCTTGGTTTGATAATAACTTAGGAAATCAACAGTCATGGTTAACTTTCTAGCTTTTTAACTCTGAAAGGCTACAAAAAGGAACTGAACATAGCAACAATACAGGTTTGAAATTTAGCTTGTGAAGGGATGTTTCCCTCCATTTCCCCAACCTAAGACTAACAGAAATGAAAATATGGAGAGCGAGTTTCGTGTTTGTAAAATAGCTAGCTTTAGAAAATTCCATAAAAGCTGATGTCAGTAAATACAAACAGATAAACAAAAAACCAATATGAAAGTATAGTCCAGTTCCAGCATTTGTAGGCTATATTCTACAGGCAGAATTTTGTAATATTTATTGAAAATTCACTGTGTACAAAGCATAGTAGGAGGCATCATGGGTAGTTACAAGGTAATAGACCTTGCTTTTATGAAGTCTGTGTACTTCTTTCTCTTCAGTTGTCTGTAAGGTGCTTGATTCTTCTTCGGAAGCTAAGGCCACGTTGGGGTGAACTCTCACTTCATCAGGCGATTAGCACCACTACAAACAAGTCTCTCCTCATCCTTCTGCTGAAATGGCCACCTCCAAGCTTGCTTGCATTTACTCTGCCCTCACCCTTCACGACAATGAGGTTACAGTCATGGAGGATAAAATCAATGCCCTTATTAAAACAGCAAGTGTAAATGTTGAACCATTCTGTCCTGGATTATTTGCAAAGGCCCTGTTTAATGTCAACATTGCAAATCTCATCTGCAATGTGGGAGTTGGTAGACCTGCCCCAGCCGCTGGTGGTGCTGCCCCTGCTGGAGGGGCGGCTCCTGATAGCACAGCTGCCCCAGCTGAGGAGAAGAAAGAGGAAGCAAAAAAAAGAAGAATCCAGGAATCCAATGATAACGTGGACTTTGGTCTGTTTGACTAAAAAGTTTTTGTAACATTAAATAAAAAGCTTAACAAAAAAAAAGAGTCTATATACTCCAAGTTGATATAAAATGAAAAGAAATATAATGAAAACATAAATTTGTATATAACTGCATTAATCTCTTTTAAATGCCATTTTGAATAGCTTCATCCCTTGCCTAAAAACCTTCGGTGGCTCCCCATTGCCTACAGCATACAATTTAAATTCCTTAGCTTGACATTTAACATTTTGCATAATCTGGCTCTTCTCCATCTTGTTCTCCAAAACAAACTACCCCTTCAGCCAGATGCTTGGATTCACTAAATCCAGAATGGTCTGTCTCTTCACTCATACTATTTGCTCTACATAGAATGCAGTTTCTTTCTCTCCACTAGATCCTACCCCTCCAACATCCTCTCTATTTATTTAATATTTTAGCTTTCTCCTTTTATCCCCCCAGGACCACCTCCTTTATAAAACCTTCGCCAGTCACCATAGTCCTCAGTAGGGGTGACTTTGGTTTTCAGTAATAGCCAGACATCAATCAAGCCTGATATATAAGGTGAGTGATCAAGCTGGATGCAATTTTTTATAATAATACTGATGTGAAACTTACTAAAGTGTTGAGCATGACTTTCTTGTGAAGCTCATAGACTGACTCTACCGTGGTGTGAAAATAAACTAGGACAAAGTAAAATAATTAAATTTATTGACTTATACAACAAACCTTCCAATCAATTGCATCTTTAAAAAATTTATGTGATACATCTGTCTTTTGTTGCAATAACTTGGTTTATATTATTTGGTATTAAGTACACAAGATTTTAACATATTCTTTCACTCTTCATCATAAAAGCACACTTTAATCACATTGGATATTTAGCACATCTTTGAAGTCAAGTCAACAAAAATGTATTCAATACCAACTATGTGCTAGGCAATGTGCTAAGTGTTAGAGACAGAAGGAAAGGTAAAAATAGTCTATATTCTCAAAGAGTTCACAGTCTAATGGGAGAAAGAACATGCAAACAATTATGTACAAACAAGATATATAAAGGATAAATAGGAGATAATCTCAGAGGGAAAGCACTAGAACTAAGGGGGTTGAGGAAAGACTTCTTGGAGAAGGTGGAATTTTTGCTGGGACTTGAAAGAAGCCAAGGAAACCAGGTAGCAAAAGGTGGGGAAGGAGAGCATTCCAGCCAGAAAACACGTGGAGTCAAGAGATGGAGTGTATTGTGTGACAGACAGCAAGGAAGTAAATGTCACTGGCTCATAGAGTATTTGGAGGGGAATAGAGTATAAGAAGACTGGAAAGGTAGGAAGGATCCAAGTTATGTATGGATTTGAAAGCCAGAGAGAAGATTTTATATTTGGCCTTGGAGGTAAAAGGGAGCCAATGGAGTTTATTGACTAGGAAAGCGACGTGTTCAGACTTGTACTTTGGGAAAATCACTTGAATAGTTAAGTAGAAGGTGTACTGGAGTGGTGAGAGATTTGAGGCAGGGAGATCATCCAGCAGCCTACTGCAATAGCACAGATAATAAGGTGATGAGGGCCTGCACTAGGGTGGTGGTAGCATCAGAGGAGAGAACGGGGCCTAATCAAGAGATGCTACAAACAACAGGCTTTGGTAACAGACTAGATAGCGGAGTCGAGAACGAGGGAAGAGTAGAGTATGACATCTAGGTTGTTAGCCTAGGTGACTGACAGGAGAGTGGTGCTGTCCATAGTAATAAGGGAGTTAGGATGAAGGGAGAGTTAGGGAGAAAAGATAATGAATTCAGTTTTGAAGATGGTGAGCTTAAGATGTCTATAGGACATCCAGTTTGAGATATCCAATAGGCAATTGGAAATACAAGACTGAGGGTAAAGAGGAAGGTTATGGATGGATAAATAGAACTGCAAATCATGAAAATAGAGACAGTAAGTGAATCCAAGAGAGCTAATGAGATCACCAAGTGTCTTGTCCCCAAGGATCTTATATTTTGCTATAAGGGGAAGTGCATGTACAGAAATAAGTAAATATAGAACATATACAAAGTAATTGGAGGGAAGGTGATAAACAGGGGGGATCAGGAAAGACCTTGTATAAAGGTAGCACTTGAGCTGAGCCTTAAATGGAGCTAGGGATCTCCAGACATTATCTCCCTTTAAATTGCTTCTTTTATCCCTCCCTCTTTCCTTCCCTCCCTGTGTGCCTTCTTTCTTTCCTCACTCCCTCTCTTCTTCCTTCTTTCCTGCCTCCTTCCTTCCTCCCTTCTTTTTTCCTTTCCTTCCTGTAGACCCCTGGTAGTTGCTGAGACCCTTTCAGGGGGTACATGAGGTCAAAACAATTTTCATGATAACACTAAGACATTATTTGCTTACTAAAATACTCCTCCCTTTTCTAACTAAATATCTGTGTGAGGCTGGATTTCCTTTATATACGTCAACTAAAATAACACATCACAACAGATTGAATGCAGAAGCAGGTATGAGAACCAGCTGCCTTCTATTAAGCCAGATATTAAAGGGATTTACAAAAAATATGTAAAATCATGTCACTCCTCACTATATTTTTTCTTTGGAAATGTTATTTTTTGTTTAAAAAAGTTATTTGTATTAACATGTTATAGGCTTATTAATGTTATTTTAAACTGTCAATAAATACATATTTTAAAAGGTTATTTAAAATGTCTAATATTGTAAATATCTTTATAATCCACAAAATGAAAGCTTTTCGTGTTCCTCAACAATTTTTAAGGGTTTAAAGGGATCCTGTCACTAAAATGTTTGAGAACCTTTGTCCTAAGTAATACATCCCTAGCATGGAATTATTTTAAGGGATTCACAAAAGAAATAATCCTCATCAGTGAATGTGACTTTTGAAAATGAGAACAAATTTCGTGGGAACCACTGTCCTTTAGCGTTCAGACACCTTCCCTGGCTCTTCTGATATTCAGTAAGTAGGATGAGAATAAGGCCTGAACTGACAAAAAGAAGTCCTGTTGAGGAAATTCCCTCTAGCAATGTGCTGGTGCATGCTCTTTGTTGATAATCTCCAATTGATTGTGTGTGTGTGTGTGTGTGTGTATGTATGCGTAAGCTTGCTCGTAACTAGTTGTTTGCATGTTATCTCTCCCTTTTAGACTGTGAGCTCCTTGAGAGCAGAGGCTGCCTTTTGCCTTTCTTTTATCTCTGGACAAACAACAACAACAGCAGCATGTAAGGCAGTGCCTGACACATAGTAGGCACTTAATAAATGACTACTGACTGACTGACTTTGCAACATATAGTCTTAGAGAGTTGCCGAGAGCACCAAGATGTTGTGACTTGCCCAAGGTCACACAGCCAGTATATGTTAGAAATGGGTTTGAACCTAGGTCTTCCTGGCTACACAGTCTCTATGCCACACTGCCTCTCAGTTAGTAATAAACATGTATTTTAACAGACTGAGCTAAGAACTTAATTAAAATGAAATCTATGTCCAAGATGTATCTCCCAGTAGAATGAAAACTCCCTGAGATCAGGGATTGTTTCATTTTTGTCTTCTTATCTTTTGTACTTAGCACTGTCTGACACAGTGTAATTGAGTTGTATTTAGTCATTTCTATGACCCCATTTGGGGTTTTCTTGGCTAAGATACTGGAGGGGTTTGCCATTTCCTTCTTCAGCTCATTTTACAGATGAGGAAACTGAGGCAAATAGGTCTGTGACTAAGTGACTAAGTGACTAAGTCACTTGGTCAGGATCACACAGCTAGTAAGTGTCTGAGGTCAGATTTGAATTCAGGAAAATAAGTCTTCCTGACTCCAGGCCCAGAGCTCATCCGCCGTGCCACCTAGCTGTCCTTAAAGTGAAATATAAATGGTTAATTCTTATATTTTGAGATTGAGTCACTGCAGCTAAAGTAGGATATGGAATAATATAAGGGAGGACTTAGCCTTCATCTTTATATGTCTAGCATTCAGCACAGTGCCTGACACATAGTAAGAACGTAATAAAAGTTAGTGAAAATGGAATGAATGTTGATTCACTGGTGGGATATTCGCTTTTTCATATATGTTTTTGGGGTATTCATTTGTGTCTTCCTTTTAGAATTAAACACCTGATGCTTGATAAGTTGGGATATGCTTGTTATACTGTGGGAGTTTATTTTTATGAATTAAAAACCTGTTTGTTTTTCTGCAAAAGCAGAGCATATCCTCCTTTCACATAAACAATGTGACATGCCTGTGGAAATCAGCCAAAGTTTTCTATGAATAGAACATAAAGTAGAGAAGGAACTGGAAATACTTAGGAGTCACCTGGTAATGTTAGTTACTTGATCCTCACAAGAGAGATGATTTCCCTGCTCTATAGTGATATTTCCTTTTTTCTGAAGCATTCGGGTTAAGTGACTTACCCAGGGTCACATAGCTACTAAGTGTCGAAGGCTCGATTTGAACTCAGGTCCTCCTGACTCCAGCGCTGATGTTCTATCTGCTGTACCACCTCCAACGCGGTATTTCATGGATTCTGTCCTTCCCGACCTCACTACACATACTCAGAGGATAGATTCTTTGGAATATCACCTTCCTGGGTAAGATAAGGTGTTATTCTTCATGTATGATGATGATGCTACTAGCAGACAAAGATGATGCTTCTAATATACACAGATATGCTGGAGCCAACTTGAAACTGGCTCATAAGAGCTGGTTGTTAACTTTCCTGCATGTACCTTTATACCTCAGAAGTGGCAAATACTACAAATCAGCGCTTAACTTACTCTGTTGACTGTTTAGACTTAAGAAAGTGATGGAGAAAATGTGAATAGTGATGATTCAACTTAAAAAGGTACTGGGTTTACCTTTCTCTCCCTCCTTCCCATTGCTTCTCATTGGACACCAGCGTACTCCTGCTGACACACCATAGTTAAGGTACTTAGATTCCATTTCCAGGTATGGGGGTAGCTGTACACTGATCACCTCACTTGTTCTGGTTACTTAAATATTTAGATGGATCTATGAATTCATTGATGTTCCACCTACATATTGAAA